AGATGTCACCCAAAGAAATCTAGATTTCAGCTTTTCTTGAAAAAAAAAAAAAAGAATCAGGAAATCTGGCAACTCTACAGCCTTGTCTCTATACCGCCTGGAAGAAAATTTGCTGGCGGCGGGGCTGCTGCTCGGAAGCTTACACTGGGGCCCAGGCTCTCCACTGTCCATCGCCTCATCCTCCTCACCCCCCAAAAGTATCTGTCTCCTGGTGGCCTTCGCTCCAAGGCATCTGTGTGACCCCCGCAGGCAGCTGCGATGCGGAGTGCTGCCCACACCCCTCCGGCTTTTCAGCACAGGAAGAGCTCAACAGAGTTGGGCCAACCCTGAAGGCACCTCCCATCCCGGACCCTGGGACAGATGGCTGGGTTAGGAAGAAGGCTCTGTAGCCTGGACCTCAGACCAGGGGATGGGCCTGACCCCAGGAGGGAGACCGGCAGCCAGCTGGAGGGCGCAGAGAGTGTGCTGGCAGGGCAGGGGGAGGCCACCGGACGCAGATGACAGCGAGGGGAGAGCTTCTGCCGGCATCGCTCCATCCGCATTCCAGGACGCATGCGTGACTGGGATTCTGGGAATGTGTTTCCACCAAATTTGGAAGCTCCTCTTTGAGGATCATGTTAAAGAGGGTCTGAGAAGCTGCCCGTCTTGAACCTTCAGTGTCACTTAAACGTGGGTTAGAATCCTGGCTCTTCCCCTTAGTCTGTGTGACCTTAGGCAAGTTCCTGAACCTCTCTGATCCTCACCTTCCTCATCTGCAATGTTTAGATATAGTCCAGAGTTTCTGAAGATGAATAATAATGTGTCTTAGACGTGAAAACAGTGGCCAGGCGCTCAGTCAACAACTTGCTAACTGTCCATGATCATGACTCTTGAACTAATTCTTGGACAGAGGCACAGGCTATAGGTCGCCCACTTCCCTACTTACGTATGTTGTGGAACCTGAAGGCAAACTTGTTGGGTGGGAAATTGAGCTCCATTTAGCTCGGGAGCCCTGTTAAGGAATTTTTAACGGGGTTCATGATCAGTCAGCCATGAGACGTGTGTTGGGAAGTGTGTCACCGATGGTGCAGAACTAGGGGTTCACTCCCGGCTCGCCCCCAACACCAGGATGGCCGGGCCAGTCCCTTAACCTCTTTCACTTCCTCACCCGTGGAGACCAGCCGGCCCGGCGTCCGTCATCAGCCACAGGAGACGGCTTACATGACATTTCATTAAAACTACAGAAAGTTAAAAACTCACCTCCTCAAGCTGCACTAGCCTGTGCCGAGTGCTCAATCCTTACGCGTGGTTAGTGCCCAGCCTACTGCACGGCACAGGCCTAGGACATTTCCCTGGTCGCAGAAAGCGCGAGGGGACAGAGCTGAGTCCCAGAGCTGCTGTCCTGGGCTGGTCCCGTTGAGAAAGAAATAAAGAACCACCTTGTCCAAACCCTGATTCCCTGATTCCCAGAAGAGGGAAGAGCTGGGGTATGTGGAGAAAGATGACAAGCAGCAGTGACTGGGCCTGCGCAGGAGCAAGAGGGAGCCGCCCGCAGGCATCTGAAGGGGCAGGAAGACATCCGTGTTGGTGTCTTTTGGTGACACGCTGTTTTCAGCACAGAAACAACGGGGAGGATGTTAGCGCTGTTGCTTGTTAAGAAAACATGTGCCTCTTGCAGGACAACATTGCAGTCATCTCTCTTATTTAGCTGGTATTAGATTTTATTGCCGAGTGTTCACATTTTAACGTGTCCATAAATCTGTTTCTTATCTTCAGAGAAATATCTGAATGAAGAACACACTGTACAAAAGAAGGGAAAAAATGAATCTAAAATGTGCGTTATTAATTTTTTAGGAAGCAAGCAAAATGGTGCCTCCTAAGGGGAAAGAGAGAAAGATAAAACAGCTGGGACTGGACTGCAGGTTTGCTTTAGAGAAAAGGCTGCTGGTTTGAGACACACCCTTACAGAGCCCACTATGTTGATGAGAGAAAACACCGAGCAGACGGAAGTGGGGCTGTGACCCACAGATCGGTTGTGGGATGTGTTGGCAGCAGATAGGCAGTGAGCTGAGCGTCCTGTCACGTAACCGAGTCGTGGAATCCGGGCACGAGGCAGGGGACAGGGAGCTGGCCAGGAGTCAGGGAGACCTGGTCTGAGGCCTACTTGGCTGCCTACTCTCTGTGCGAGGCTGACACACTGCAGGGAGCACGCTCAGCCTCAGTGACCTGTGTGAGCGCCTGTCTCCAGAGCAGTGATGGCGAACCTATGACATGCGTGTCAGAGGTGACAACCGAACTCATTTTTTGGTTGATTTTTCTTTGTGAAATGGCATTTAAATATATAAAATAAATATCAAAAATATACGTCTTTGTTTTACTATGGTTGCAAGTATCAAAAGATTTCTATATGTGACACGGCACCAGAGTTAAGTTAGGGTTTTTCAAAATGCGGACACGCCGAGCTCAAAAGGTTCGCCATCACTGCTCCAGAGGCTGCAGGCAGATGCTGTAGGTAAGGTGGCCAGGACACAAGAGGCAAGTGATACCTATTAGTGTGTCAGTTAGTCAAATCATGGTTCGGGTCCAATCCAAAGCCAGGACAGAGAGAGAGAATAGGGGCACACTTAGGAGGAGAGGCAGCCCCTCCTGACCTGCTCTGGTGTGGGTAGCCCTGCCCTGCTCACTGCTGACCAGTGATGCTGGGAAAGAGCCAGGAGAACAGGGGCCCATCGGCGAGTTCAGGGTCAGAGAGGTCTGGGAGGGGACGGGTGCGTGGAACACTGCCAACCTTCATACCAACCCCAATTCTGGACAGAAGCAAGCTTTCAGGAAAAGAGAACTGCCTGCCTTTGCTGGGCCTCATTCTAATAACCATTCCACTTCCCTTCCCTCCCCATAAAGTACGATCATTCTCTTGAAGCATCTTGAATCTCTGATAAGGTCAATTCCACATGGTAATGACCTTTCTTCAACACTTAATTTCTCCCCATACCTCTTTCTGTGCTGAGCACTTCCATTCAGATTACGTGACCAGAGCTGCAAGCCCTCTAGATCATGGCTGGAGAAATTGCCACGGGTTTGTTTCTTTCCCCATCTCGTCTCTGCCCTCCATTAACCCTATTTAAGCCTGAACCCAGAGGGGCAATCATTTCCTCACCTCAGGGGGCTCAGTTCACGCCCTCTAGGCAATTACCAGATGCCTCTCTCACACTCTGAGCGTAAGTCACTGGCTCAGACATATTGAGATTCTCCATAAATGCAGCCCCATCCTATCTCATGCGAGACGAGATAGATTTATTTATTTATTTATTTGTTTGTTTATTTATTCTAGAGTGTTTTAAAATTGATCAATGCCTTCATTCAAATCCCATACGTATGGTATAATGCTCATTAATGCTCATTAGATATTTATGTCAATTGAGAAAGAAACATCTCTCATTGATTTCGTATAGTTCCAAGCCAGCCCAGGTTCATCACACACCTAAATCTGCATGATTGACAGGGTGGTAGCAGCCCCCACGCACCTTCATTTTAATTATGCCAGATCTTGGGGAAAAGAAAAGATAATTAACTCAGTGACAAAAGATTCTCGTTTCCCTTGTAAGAGTTTCCGAGAGAGAATTGTGCTCAGCGGTAGGGGCAGGAGATACAGTGGCCTCAATCCAGTCCCACATTGAAGATGCCCTTGGTATGCTTTCTGGTCTGTAAGATGAGAGCACAAGAAAACAGATGGCTACCAAAAAGTGACCATACTTAGTGCAGCTTATTGATTTCAGCCTGTCCGTTGGCCTAGGCATTGTTTCAACCTTTGAGACCCATGATACAGTATTGCTCCTTTTATCAAGTAACAAGCACTGGCTAACCCAGTAGCACAGAACTTAGTGGCTTAAAATAAATAAGCATTTATTATTGTACACGTTTCTGTCATCAGCCGGAGGACTGGCTGGGGACTAGCTGGTCTAGCAGTTAGCTACCTATTGGCTGAGTTGATGCAATAGATTGGTTATGTGTCCCTCATTATCCAACAGCCCAACCCATATAAGACACATTAAATAATGCCCCTCCCCAAGGATGTCTGTGTCTGGATGCCCAGAACCTGTGAAAATGTTACCTTCCGTGGTCAAAGGAACTCTAGATGTGTGCTTAATGTCAGCGGGTCTCAACCTGTGGGTCGAAAACCCTTTGGGGGTCGAACGACCCTTTCACAGGTGTCGCCTAAGACCATCAGAAAACACATATATAATTACATATTGTTTTTGTGATTAATCACCATGCTTTAATTCTGTTCAAGCATTTTTAGCTTTGAGATGGAGGAGAGTCCATGAGCCAAGGAATGAGGCAGCCCCTACCAGCTGGAAAAGGCAAAGAAATGGGTCCTGCCCTAGAGCCCTCTGAACCCAGTTTAGACCTCTGACCTCTAGAACTGAAAGAGAATAAATATGTGTTTCTATAAGCCACTAAGTTGGTGGTAACTTGCCACAACAGCAATAGACGAACACACCCGACTTGTCAAAAAGTTAGTAGCAGGGTTCTAAGAGGAAGGCAGGACTCAGGATTGACACACTGTCACTTTCCTCACATTCTATTGGCCAACGATGTCACAAGGCATCCCAAACTCAAGGGTTGAAGAAATGGAGCCCACCATTTTCTGATGGATTCTATTTCTCTTACATCTTTTTTTAAATATATTTTTTTATTGATTTCAGAGAGGAAGGGAGAGAGAAACAGAAACATCAATGATGAGAGAGAATCATTGATTGGCTGCCTCCTGCACGCCCACACTGGGAATCAAGCCCACAATCCGGGCATGTGCCCTGACCGGGAATCAAACCGTGACCTCCTGGTTCATAGGTCAGCGCTCTATCCACTGAGCCAGGCCAACTGGGCTATTTCTCTCATCTCTTGATGGGAGAACCGAACCGTGACCTCCTGGTTCATAGGTCAGCGCTCTATCCACTGAGCCAGGCCAACTGGGCTATTTCTCTCATCTCTTGATGGAAAGTCACATTGCAAAGGGTGCGGAGACCAAGAAGGGTAAAGGATTATGGCCTTACCCCCATGCCCTTCACAAGGTGACAGAGGACGTTCAAAAGCAACATCTGACCCCAGTCTCTTTTTCATTTCCAGTGACACAGTGAGCATGGGGGTCTGGAACGCAGGCACCCATCTCCTCCTACGTCTTTGGGGGATGTATGTGTCTCCAAGAAGCCCTGGATGGGTGGACATCCTCCAACATCTGGGAATTTGCTCTCTTGTTGCTTTCAGTTCGGTGGGCCTCCTCTCGGTGGCCTTCTCCTGGTTTCTGTCCTCGTTCCTAGTCTTCACCATCTCCTGGGCGGTCGCCTGGGTTCTCCTGTGCTGCTCCAAGCACGGGAGGTGTTTCGTGGCCCTCTTCTTCCTCTCCTGTGGCCTGCGTGAAGGCAGGAACGCGCTGATTGCCGCCGGCACGGGGATAGTCATCTTTGGACACGTGGGAAACATCTTCCACAACTTTAAAGGGCTCCTGGACAGCATGACTTGCAACATAAGGGCCAAGAGCTTTTCCATTCACCTGCCACTTTTGCAGAGGTATATTGAAGCCATCCAATGGATTTACGGCCATGCCACTCACCTGGATCTATTTGACGGCCTCGTGTCTTGGAACCAGACTCTGGCAGTCTCTCTCTTCAGCCCCAGCCAAGCCCTGGAGGCACAGCTAAATGACACCAAAGGCCAGGTCGTGGGGGTCTTGTACCAGATGGTGACGGCGGCCGAGGTTTTGTCCTCCCTGGGACGGCAGCTACTGGCCCTCGCGGGGCTCTTGCTGGTCCTTCTCGGCACGGGCCTCTTCATGAAGCGGTTTCTGGACCCTCGTGGCCGGAAGTTTGAAAACGTCTACATCACCAGACAATTTGTGCGGTTCGATGAGGGGGAGAGGCATCAACGGAGGCCCTGCGTCCTCCCGCTGAGTAAGAAGGAAAGGAAGAAGTACGTTGTCATCCCGTCTTTCGGACTGACGCCTAAAGAAAAGAAGAACCTGGGGCTGTTTTTCCTCCCCATTCTAACCCATCTCTACCTCTGGGTGCTGTTTGCAGCTGTCGATTTTCTGCTGTATCGGCTCATTTTCTCAGTGAGCAGACACTTTCAACACTTGCCATCGCTGGAGGTTCACTTGAAACTGCACAGGGAGGTAGGCGCTCCCAGGCACTGGAGGGGGGTATCCTGGCTCTTTGCTGGGCCGTTTGCAAATGGCCACGAGCCTCACAAGGCAGGGCAGTGTCTCACCACCTCTGGGTCTCCGGCGCCTGGTACAGTGCCTCGCACGGAGAAGGAGCCCATCGGATGTTGGTAAATCGAAGTCCCTGTGTTAGAGTATATCATTCTGAACCTGTTGGGTCACTGTGTTAGTTTCTGTGGCTGCTGTCACAAATCACCACTAAGTGAGTGGCTAAAACAACACAGATTTCTTCTCTTCTACTTCTGGGGACCGGAAGTCTGAAATCAGTGTCCCTGGGCTGAAATCAGGTGCTTTGGCAGAGCACACGCCCTTCAGCCTCTCAGGGAGACTCCACTCTGTTTCTTCCAGCTTCTGGTGGCCGTTGGCATTCCTTGGCTTGTGGCTGCATCACTCCATCTGTCTTCACATTGCCTTCTCCCTCCGCCTCCCTCTGAAAGGACGCATGTGATTGCAGTAGGGTCACCAGGACAATCCAGTGTAATTTCTCCATCTCAAGGTCCTTAATGGGATCTGCAGAGTTTCCCCCTCCCCCAAATAAACCACATTTACAGATTTGCGGATTAGAATCTTAGGTCGTTGGGGGGCCATTTTCAGCCTCCGATAGCCAACAGACACTGAAATGTGGGAAGAGGGGTCTCTGGTGAAACACGAAGTTGATTCCTGGCGTGAACCTGACAGGTCAGATTTAGGGCCTGCCTTCCTCTCTCTGCAGACTCGCTGTGCACGCAGACTGCGCGTGCCTTCTCTGAATGAGACCGCCTTTTCTTGGCAGCCTGAGTCCTTCTCAATCATAGGGGGGATCCTAATGCATCAGTGTCGTGTTTAAGAGGAAGGTCAGCCCTAACCGGTTTGGCTCAGTGGATAGAGCGTCGGCCTGCGGACTGAAAGGTCCCAGGTTCGATTCCGGTCAAGGGCATGTACCTGGGTTGCGGGCACATCCGCAGTAGGGAGTGTGCAGGAGGCGGCTGATCGATGTTTCTCTCTCATCGGTGTTTCTAACTCTCTAGCCCTCTCCCTTCCTCTCTGTAAAAAATCAATAAAATATCTTTTTTTTTTTAAAAAAAGAGGAAGGTCATTGAAAAAAGGCCGCTAACCAAAAAATACAGCTGCTGCTAGTGTCTAGAAAAACAAAGAAAAAAAAGGAACCAGCTACACTTTTTTTTTAGGCAGCTTAGGCCAGTGGCTTCAACCTTGAGTGTGTTAAGAATTTCCTGGGAACTGTAATACTATCAACAATAAAAAATACATTAAAAAAAGAGAATTTCCTGGAGTGCCCCAGCCAGTTTGGCTCAGTGGACAGAGCATCGGCCCTCGGTCTGAAGGGTCCTGGGTTCGATTGCACCCAAGGGTGCACGCCTGGGTTGCAGGCTCAATCCCCGGCCCCAGTCAGGGCATGTGTGAGAGGCAACCAATTGATGTGTCTCTCTCACATTGATGTTTCTCTCTCTCTGTCTCTGCCCCTCCCTTCCACTCTAAAAACCAATGGAAAAATATCCTGGGGGAGAGGATTAACAACAACGACAAGAATAGAAGAATTTCCTGGGGTGAATGCAGCACCTTAGGCCTCAGTTGACAGAGATTCAGTTTTAAACAAGGGAGCACTTTTAATAAGCACTTCATGTGGATTTTAAAGTAGGTGGTTCATAGGCCACACATTGAAACACAGGTTTCTCAGTGGGGTCATTTCAGAGGATCTGCATGTTGTAGGACACTTGTCTTACTTTTTTATAACCCAGAGATTGTGAAGCTGAGCTAGGTGGGACATGTACATGTCCAGCGTGTGCATGTGTGTTCATGAGCTTGTGTAGCATGTGTGTGTGTGAGTGTGTGTGTGTGTGTGTGAGAGAGAGAGAGAGAGAGAGAGAGGAGATTCACGGTGGGGCGGAGTGCACTAGCCCGAACAGCTGCTTCCACATGTGCTGGGTGCTAGGGAAATCTTAGGGGGGTCGCCTGCAAACCCTTCGTTGAAGCCCCGCTTTCCATATCTCTCTGGGCTGGGATCCTCCTTCTGCACCCACACTTTCCCGCCCCTTTACTTCTGGCTCAGCAGGGCCGTCCAGGCTCCTGCCCCTCCTCACCCTGGGCTGCTTCTCAAAGTTGATTACTCTGAACACTCTGCATCCCCTGAAGAATCGAGTTAATTACGAGAACCCTGCTGCTCCAAATATCTGCACAGAGTGGATAATGGAGCTTTTCAGACAGGCTTGGTCCTGGGGGTGGCTAGTCAGAGCCTCTGCCCTCCATTCCCTTTCCATTTGCTTCCTGTTTCTCTTTTTATTTTTTAAAAATATTTTTGTTGATTTCAGAGAGGAAGGGAGAAGGAGAGAGAGATAGAAACATCAATGATGAGAATCATCGATTGGCTGCCGCTTGCACGCCCCCAACCAGGGACTGAGTTCACAACCCGGGCATGTCCCCTGACCTGGGATCGAACCGTGTCCTCCTGGTTCATAGGTCGACACTCAACCACCGAGCCACTCCTCTCAGTTCTCCCTCTCCCCCTTTATCTTCTTCCTTATCTCTCATTTATTTCTCTCTCAGTCAACACCCATGCCTGTTTTGTGAATTCTCACCATTTTAGACAGAAGGGGGTGGGGGTGGGGGTGGGGACATATCCAAGTTCTACCTTTGAAAAATGGCCCAGAAGCTTTCCAATGACAATGTCCTCACAAACACATTCTTGGGTGTTGGGTCCTGGGGATGCAAAGATTTCTAGACCCTGATGTCTGCCATGGAGGGGCTCCGGTCCTGGTGGGGGAGGCCACCAGGTCCACTCACAGTGACAGCAGGACATGGGTGCTGGACCAGATGTGAGGACGAGGCTGCTGCCCACAGACCTTCTCCTGTGGTGCCTGGGACACTATGCTGCCAGCACCTTCCTGAGACTGGCAGTGCCCTGCCCTCACCCCAGGAAGCCCTTGGAGGCTCCTGGTCCCCCCATTGCCTCAGGTTTGCAGAGGAGAAGTCAAGCAGGAAGAGAGATATCAGCTAAGGTTTTGCTAATATGTCTCTCCCACTTTCATACAATTTTAGATAAAGAAGAAAGATGGAGGGAGCGGGGAGGAGAAAGAAGAAGGATGGGAAATGACCTGAACTGAGCTAGCTGGATGGGTGTGCATTGTAAGAAAAAATAGCCATAGTTGCTGCTCATTGAACACCTACTATGTGCGTAGCATTTGTCTAAGCCAGTGGTTCTCAACCTTCTGGCCCTTTAAATACAGTTCCTCATGTTGTGACCCAACCATCAAGTTATTTTCGTTGCTACTTCATAACTGTCATGTTGCTACTGTTATGAACCGTCATGTAAATATCTGATATGCAGGATGGTCTTAGGCGATCCCTGTGAAAGGGTCGTTCGACCGCCAAAGGGGTCGCGACCCACAGGCTGAGAACCGCTGGTCTAGATGAACTTTTCAGGACTATCTGATGCCAGAGTAGGTTCTGTCCATTGCTCGGTGCTGTCTTGGCAAATTGTTTACTCGAGAGAGGTAAACACATTTTAAAGCATCGGGGTACCGTTTAGTCAATTGCTCACGATTTTGAGAGAGTTCATTTGTCTTCCATATTACCCTCCACCAACCCTGAGCAAAAACGTTGACTCAATCTTTATGAAGCTCTGACTCCCAACTGCAAAGCCTCCGCTTAGGTTCCTGGACTAAATAACTTCTCCCCAGAGCGAACACCCGCTGCTTGCTTATTGCAGGATTTCTCATCACTGACTCAATCGATGTGCTTGTTTCTCCAATAGCTTTAAAAAGAGTGCCTGCCTTTGCTCTGGAGATTGAAATCTCTCCATTTAATTGTAGGCAAACTATCTTAATAAGAGAAAAGGAGAGGCAACACAAATACCTTTCATTGCTTGGCCACAGCGCTGGGGAAATTACTGATTTCACTTCACATTTGTAGAGAGGTCCCTGGTTTGGGATTTCCAGGTTCTGCCCAAGTATGAGAGTAGGTCAAGGGGCCTGGTGTTCTCTGGGCGTGGTTGGGTTCTTTCTGAGAAGTCATTTCCCTCGTCCTGGCCCCAGGACTCTGGGGTGCAGGGGTGATAATCACTGACTAAGTACTTCAGTCTGTTAGGTTAATGCTCCCTCCCCAAGGTGCTTAGTTTACACTGGGAGTAGTTTATTCACGGACAGGATCTGGTCCATTAATTCCTGTTTCACCAAATTAGAAAACAAATCCACCGAGAGATTAAATGACTTTCTCGGGTCAGAGAAAAGGAAGCGCTGAATCAGCGCCCGCTTCTCCTGCGGGTGGCTTGGCTGGGTCACTCAATGTCATCTCCTGCCTTCGTGTCATTTTGCAGAAGGTAACTGATTCGTTCTCTTAGGAAGGCATGCACCCCTCTTGAGCATCCAAGAAATAAGAAAACATCCTATTTTGAGACCTCTAAAAATAGGGTTTTAGAGCCACTTTCAGTAAAACCTATTCTTGGTATTATTACACTAAGAATAATCTCCCCTACCCCCAAGCTCTAGAATGTTGACTTAGGACATCATTTAATGCCTCTGCAGCTTTGTGACCTTGTGGTCTGATGGGGAGGGTATGACTGGGTCTTAAGGGGCTACACTCCAAAAACCTTCACCCCCAGCTGAGCTAAAACCATCTTTCATTAGTCCCACATGCCCCAAGGTGTGGACACAGGTGCTCCATAGAAACGGGTTATGCGATCACCTATGTTAGGATAACTGCTGGCTGAAGTTAAACAGATTTCTCCGCCTTCTGCTCAGAGCCTTCAACAGTCTTATGGGCATCGTGACTCTCCAAAGAAGGGACAAGTAGTCAAACTTATTTAATACCCTCTTTCAAGGTAACCTATATTTCCACAAACCCACTTTGGAAAATGCCGCAGTAGCTGCAGATAAAGCCCACCCCTTCACCTTTCTCCAATGCCAGCACACAAAAGGAACCATGGCAGCTCCTTCTACCAAAGCTTCCTATTTTAAGACAAATGATATGTGTTGCAGGGCAGCAGCGAGAAAGACGAGGAATGAGTATGAAATGGCATGGATCTTGATGATTTTATTCTTTCCTTTCAGGAGCAAGGAACTCAAAACATCATTCATGACTCCCCCTTTAATGTATCTCTGTTTGAACCCAACTGCATCCCTAAACCAAAGCTCCTTCTGTCTAAAACCTGGGTTCCTCTCAGTATTATTCTTGTGATACTAGTGGTGCTAGGACTGTTGTCCTCCTTCCTGATGCAACTTAAAATCCTGGTGTCAGCATCCTTCTACCCAAGCGTGCAGAGGGAACGCATCCAGCACCTGCATGCAAAGCTACTGAAGAAGAGATCAAAGCAGCCAGTAGGAGAAGAAAAAAGGCAGCTGCGTCTGTACTTTACAAAGGTAAGGCCAAGACGAGGGTATACCTGTAATGAAGGAAATTTTGAGTTTGAAGGGAAAAATGGAATTTCAAAGCACTCTTCAACTTCACATTAGGGTTATATTCTCAACAATAGATGGGACACCAGAGGAAGTGGGGGAAGTAGGGGAGAGAAATGAACAGATACACATGGCTAAGGCTCCTAGCTTTGTGATTTTTAAATGCTGGTCTAAAGGATTCTACAAGATGTCCTCAAAACACTGATTTCAAGTGAGTATGTTTAGTCATACTGTAGAGAGACTATTGGGATGGCCCTTTGTAATAGCTATTAAAGAACAATGCCTAACAAGATGTTACTTTACTAGGTCAAGGAAAAAGAAATAACATAGAGGGAAATATCTACTACAGCTTGGTAAACTCCAAAAAATTTGCTCATTCTCCAGAATTTAAAATAAATAAATAAATGATATACATGTATGTTTATATACATATATGGTAACATAATGACGTTCATACACATATAAAATAAGCGCTTGTCAAAGATTTTTTTAAGTTGTTAATTAAAGAGGAAACAGTAAAAAAATTCCAACCAATTCAAAGCACACACATATACAGGCCATCAGGAATACCAAAATGGGGTTTGCTTCAGAGATGCGAAACTGATCTCTTCCCCAAGGGCGACGGAAGGACCAATTGTACTCTGCAGGATAAGATGTATTTGCAGGTCCAGGACAAGAATCAGTTATTTGCATTGTTGCTATCAGCGACCTACAATGCACATGAGAGGAAAAAACTCACAGATGATGAAAGATGCAGGAGACCCACAAGGATAAGTTTTCCTGGCCACGTCAAAGTCTTCTGCAATTTTTCCTGACACCAGGAGCCCCACGATGAGGTGTTTATGCCAGAGGCACTTGAAGCGACTCTAACGCTCATTCATCCATCTTTTTGTCTCTTCAGATTCATTTCTGGCTTCCGGTCCTGAAAGTGATTAGAAAGAAACAAGTGGATGCTGCAGGTGAAAGCAACCCATGAGAGGCCCCCATGGTAGGCCCAGGCCACACTTCCCAGCAGCTCTTGGGTCCCTGACTGTGGTCACTGCTCATGCCCAGCATCAGAGATCTATATGGCCTGGTCCCTCAGGGGTCTCGGTTTGGGGGGCAAACTACCTTTCTTCATAAGGGCCATAGGTCTGCCAGGTAAATGGTTAGGACTGTTAGGTCATGTTTTTTCTAATCCCTTTGGGGATAAATCTCAGCATGGAGTAATATACAAAGAAAAGAAAAAAAAATCAGCATCTCTACTGCAGGTTCACAAGCAAATGCTAAGGAGAACATACATGTATAATGCCAGTAACATCTCCTTAATCTTTTCTGTCCCCACTCAGCCCCTCTCATTAGCATTCATAGCTATTCCCTACCCCCACAACTGTCTCCCTTATTCAAGAACTGTTTCCCAAACCCATCTCCAGCAGCTCCTCACTGCTTCTCATCTCCACCTCGGCACTTACTGCCTCCTTTCCTGTTTTTTTGTTTGTTTTCCTCTTCTACCAAATCCTCTAGCCACATTTATTTGGGGACCACATTTATCAAAATCATATAAAATGTTAAAATTCACATTGGGCCTCTTTTTCACTGTACTCAGTAAATACTCTGTGGTACAGGGGCCCATTTCCCCTCTCCTCTCAATACCTAGGAAGGAAAAAACCTCCTGGAATATTGAGTTGAGTATCTCTAAATTCCCAGGATGGAGAAGAAATAAAGAAACATTAAATTTTTTCTTTGTAATTTTCATTCTGAAAAGTTTTCAGACTCACAAAATAGTAGAGTTCCATTTATCCTTCACCCATCATCCCCAAATATTAACATCTTATAACCATGATACAATGATCAAAACCAAGTAAATAACATTGAAAAATGTATAATGTATAGACTTTATTGAATTTTTTACCAACTGTCCCACTAATATCCCTTCTGGTTCTTAATTCAATCCAGGCTCACACATTGCATTTAGTTGTCATGGTTCCTTAGTCTTGTCCAATCAGTATATGGCGGGGAAATACTTTGAGGTCATGCAAACATCCTGTTTCTCATCATACCTTTCCACTCTGACTTTGGCATCCAGAGATGCAAAACCAAGACAGCCAAATTATGATTTTCTTTTTATGTGTCTTCAACATTTCTTAATTGGAATTTGACACTATCCCCAGAAATTATATCTATATCTATATCTATATCTATATCTATATCTATACACACACACATACATATTTAAGACCAAACTTTGTTTCAGGTCCCTGAGTAGGCATTTGACACATATGATCTCATTTAGGTTTCACGACAACCCTGTTTAATAGATCAGAAATCTCGCCCTCAGAGACCCTGACTGAGCTGGCCTGGGGCGGGGCCTGGGCACGGGCATGATTAAAGCTCCTGGGGATTCTAACGGGCCAGCCAGATGGAGAACCAACATCCCAGGAAGTTGTACAGAACTGCAGGTCTTTTGATTTAAGTTTTCAAATTTCTCTAACAGGAGGAGCCTACACTAGAAACGTGTCTGACTCAGCATTTTCCAAAGTGTGTTCCTTAGGACACTAGTTCCTTAGTTGTTCCATAAAAGGAGTTGCGTGATGTTCCTAAACCCATACCCCCTGCCTTCTAACCTTGACGATTCATAAAGCATGTTGACATCATTCAGAAACTTTAAGGGCTTTATTTTAACCTGTTTCATTGAGGATTTCCCCCAACTACTGAGCCATGGAACAGGTTTCCCAGGAATAACTATTGTCATCTCTCAGGACCAGCCCCACAGCCCAGACTCTGGTAAATGCTGAGTCATTGGCATAACTTTGAACCAAAACAGGGTCAGAGAAGGTGAATATGCATTTACATTTTTGGCTTATTCAAATATCCTGATGTTTTATTGTGTTTTCTAAGCAAACAAATGTACATATTAATAAACGGACACACTGTATGGATTTTTGTTCTCATGTTGTATTTATTCCTCCTAGAGAGGAGGGACCTTTCCCACATTAACTGAGACAAAGAATCAACTGCTCAATTTTGTGAGGAAACTGGATGCTTTTGCCTTTGTAAATTCTACGAATTAACTAACTTACCTACCGAACAACCTCACCAACATGGACAGCGAACATTTGAACGGGGCACAGAGAAGGTGTTGGTGATACCCATACGCTCAACCATGGTCCCTGCCTTTGGCATGTTTCCCATCTAGCCAGGAAGACAGATAGATGCTCAGACAGTAAATGACAACATATAGTAGCTTCTGGTAAATTCCAAAAGCTCTGGGCAGGCCACGCCTTTATGGAACCATGGCCAGGCTCTCTGCCTACTACGAATGCCCAGGTTACACCTCTTCCCTATGAGGGGGGTACTAGAGGGGTTGGTAAAGGGGTTTTAATTTCCTTTAAATTATAACCACTGTTCTGACATAGCAGATTCTCTCTTGTTTCCCACTGACTGTGCCTTGGAAGGATTCCCGAGACTTCCGGAGACTTCTGTCCTGCTGTCCTTCTGTTAGGCCAGCCTGCCCTTTTGCCGAAGTGCTTGCCCCATTGGAAGGACAAGCAGCAAGGACATGCTGTCACAAAAGGCAATTTTGATCTTGAAAACAAGATGTAGACTCGCTTATTAGGACCAGTCTAACTTGGGAGATAAAATGCTTATTTAATTGCAGCTTATCCACTTCAGATTTAAATGAATGGTTAAGTTAAATTTCTTGAGACATCTATTGTGAAATGTGCTTTGTTAATCTTATGGAGGCAGAAAGATACTGCCCAAGGTAATTAAATAGAGCTCCCTTTTCACCTCTAATTGTAACGGCTTAGAAAAGGATATTGCATTAAAGTCTAAGCCACTATTTCTCATCTCATGAATCCCCACGCGGTGGCTGCATTTTGTCAGGGTCTTCCAGGTGTCACTCTGATGCCTCCATATTTGTTCTAGTTGTGCTTCTCTCTGACAGTAAGATGCAGTCATTCCAGATGCCTTGATAGTAATAGATCTCTTTTAGTATTCTACTCAAGATGTTAAACCTTGTCTTTCCTTTTTTTTTTTTTAGATTTTATACCTGCTGTTTTCTCTGTTAGAACCTAATCAATCCTAATTATAATATGGAATATGTTGGTCTCTTCACACATTAAGTATTTTTGTTTTAATTCACCTGAGAGAGAAAGAAATAAACATATCTCATCCTAAGGGAGTAAGAACTAGCTTTCCCACCCAAAGTCAGTAATAGTGGGAAGAGAGAGGGAGAGAGAGATAGGAACAGCAATGATGAAAGAGAATCATGGATCGGCTGCCTCCTGCACACCCCCTACTGGGGAGTGAGCCCACAACCCTGGCATGTGCCCTTCACTGGAATTGAACACAGGACCCTTGAGTCCACAGGCTGATGCTCTATCCACTGAGCCAAACTGGCTAGGGCAGCTCTTTCTTCTTCTTTTTTTCCCATTGTTCCCTGCCCAACCTCACTTTCTTTAACTCTTAACAAAAAGAACAAAAACAAGGCGGAAAAATCGTATTTCAACCAGGCTTGATACACACCAGGGACTGGCAAACTTTTTCTGTGAATTGATGGGTAATAAATATTTCAGGCTTTGCAGCCATGGGGTCTCTGCTGTGAGAACTCACCTCTGCCACTGTAGTGAGAACACAACCATAGACAACAAGGAAATTAATGAACCTGACTGTGTATCAATAAAACTTTCTTTGGAAAAACAAGTGTCAACCTGGATTGGCCTGCCGAATAATACAGGAAGACTTTTTAGAAATCCATTCAAAGTCAGAAAAGAAATGGGTTCAAAATCCCTCTGTACCACCAACCAGCTGAATGACTTTGCAAAAAAGTCACTTCCCCTTTCTCACCTTCATGTTCTCATCTGCAAGGAGGAAGGAGCTGGATTACAGAATCCCCGAGGAAGCCGCCATCTCTCAGTCTTTGGGAGACTGCATTCTGGGAGATTGGTCTGTCATTTGATTTGTTTCAGCATTTGATTTGTTTGTTCTTTCATTGTTGATCAATGAATCATAAAGAACAACAGCAACTCTTGGGCCCTAAGAATGATTTATTAGATGAAAAAAGGAAAAGATAACATTTTCTTCAAAATAAATGTTATTTTTCTCCACAGACACAAAAACAATCAGAATCCTTATTAAATTCTATGGTCATAGGTAATTTCATACTGTTAAAAGTCAGGCTGCGGTGTCAGAGGCCGAAATGAAGCCCTGAAAATGGAAAAGTCTTGCCTTTTCAAAGTGAGCAGCGTACTCACTCCAAATGTGACATATTAATTAGGGAGGGAAAGAAATAGATCCAAATTGTTTTTCTTACAGGAAACCACGGTGGGAGTATGTCTGCCCTGAGATAAGCATGCTATGACTTGCAGGTGGAAATGCTAATAATACGAACAAGAAAACAAGAATGCATTGTTTTCAAACGCGGTGCAATGAAAGAAAAGAGTGTTGAATTAGAACCGAGAAGAACGGACATCTAATTCTGGCTCTGCTACTAACTAGCTAAGACGAGGCACTTCCTGCTCTCGGCACAATTCACTCCTTCTAGAAAACATCTTAATAGCTGTTACATATGTATTGAGCCCTTACTGGGTACCCGACACTGTTTTTGGTGTATTATTTCCATTAATCTTTACCAAAACCTCTTGAAGGGAGTTCTGATGTTGTTGCTGTTATAAGATGAAAAAACTGAGGCACCAACAGGCTAAGTAACTTGTGCACAGTGTGATCTGGGAGAGACATTTGAACATAGTTACTCTCTATTATGCTGCCTCCCAGAGCGAGGTTTTCACGTGTCATTTCCCAGCTCAGAGATCTGGACCCACACATCCTGGTGAAGTCACATTCCCCGCTCCTCTCCCATCTATTTCCGCACCTAATTCCTCTCTTTTCCTCTGCCCGAACCCTCCCTTTAGTCAACAGGTTGTTTCCATATAACCCCAAGGAGAGTCATCTGCATTCCACTTCACACTTTTGCTCTCCTGGCCCTGCTCAATCCTAAAACACTTCTCACCTTCTTTCCCTGTCCACTCCCTCCCATCCACTCCCTCCCATCCTTCAAGGCCTCACCAAGTCCTGCATGGCTGAGAGTCTTGTACATGGGGCTGTGTCCTGGCTCTCTCACAACCTCTGAGTGGGAGCCGGGAGATGTCATTTAAACTCCCTGGGCCTCCATGTTTTGATCAATTGACTATTGGACCCCATTTGAATTTTTCAAACTGATTATCTATTATTCTTTTTAGCTGTAGACCCCCTTCCTCCAATCCACTCTTTACTATATATTTTTATTGATTTCAGAGAGGAAAGAAGAGGGAGAGAGAGAAAGAAACATCAATGATGACAGAGAATCATCCATTGTGCCTCCTGCATGCCCCCTACTGGGGACCGAGCCTGCAACCCTGGCATGTGCCCTGACTGGGAATTGAACTGTGACCTCCTGGTTCATAGGTCAATGCTCAACCACTGAGCCACATCGGCCGGGCCAATTCACACTGTAGATCACCAATTCCTATCCAGTAAAGACACAGCTGCCCTGTTTGAGACAGGTGGGGGCCCTGAAGGCTGCCTTCCTTCCTCTTGTCCATCTGGGCAGTTCCTAGGGCACCTGAGGTTCTGCAAAACAAAGCAGGAGCCATGCAAGTCATTCCTGCAGAGTGCCACGACTTCTTACCATCTTGGCATAGGTCATGCTCTACCATTTACCCATATGTTCTTATAATTGACTCAGCATTTTCACTAAACAAGTTCACTCTAAAAGGCAACTTTATAACATCATTGTAAATGGAAAAACCATATCACTTTCCATAAATAGAAAGTAATATACATACATAAACATACACATTACATTTACATTCTTTAGTATGCATACATATACACATATAGTATTATGTAGACAGTATATACCTTTTATATAGATATGTAAACTATGTGACACACACACATCGAAAACAAAACAACATTATTATATCATTAACTTGCAAGGAGATAGCTGCCTACCAAAGCCAGCAGCCTGCTCTCTGCTCACCCACTGTGGAACCCAGGCCTGGGGTGGGGGCTGGGGTATTTACACAGCAACTCCTGCCAGTTGCTGATGGGGGGCTGCTGCTGCCCCTGGGTGGTGTTCATTCCCTGGCACATCTGGCTTTCCTCGGTTCTGAAAACGTCCCCAGGCAAAGGGATGCA